ATTGCTTCTGGTTCTATCCTTAGAGGCTAAGGTGAACAAGTCTTCTCCCTCCTCCTTATGACACCCTTTTAGATACCTGAAAACTGCTATCATGTCCCCTCTCAGTCTTCTCTTTTCCAAACTAAACAAACCCAATTCTTTCAGCCTTCCTTCATAGGTCATGTTCTCTAGACCTTTAATCATTCTTGTTGCTCTTCTCTGGACCCTAACCAGCACATGTGATTGTCAGATCTCATAACTGAACCTGGGTTGGCATGTAGATGGGAGACCTACTGAAGGAAAATGTCCACGTGCAGTAGTAAGTAGTGTTGGTGAATCAATAGATTATCATTTTCCCAATGAGTCAGTACTGAATCAGCACCCCAGCATAGTGTTAAAAGGGCACTATGCTGCACCTTTCAGTTAAGACAGATCAAATCAAAGTTTTGACAGCTTGTGTTTACATGGAACCCAAGGATACATTTCAGAAGAGGAGGAATATTAACACCAGTGTCTTGGGTGAATTCAATCTGCATAGCCATATTCAGTTTACCTAAATTCCACCTGCACTTTCAATAGGATGTGGTGGTTTTGGTATGTCCTGTTAAACAGTTGCCCTATTTCACACCAGAAATGGCTTGATTTTACTGGTGGAGAAGATATTCCTGTGCATAGTTGGTATATTAAATTTCAGGCCTGTCTTGCCACTTTGGTAAAGCAAAAACATTGAAGTTCCTTCAAAATATTGAGAGACAGAGAGAGAGAAGCAGGAGCCCTTTGAATATGGGAAAGCTGCTTATTTCTTTTAAAAAAACAGGACTTATTTCTCAGTAAACAGAGAAACTAATGGTCATGTACTAAAATTGCTTTTCCTTTGTTATACTCCTTGCTTTTTATTTTGTTGACTTTTTTTTATTTACTACTAAGAATATTTCATTTATTTTGCTACTTCTCTTTTCTCCTGTTCTCTATGTTCCCAGTTACCTGCTTCACCGCTGTACAGAGCCTAAAGAATGATCCTCATCAAAGAAACATTGAGATTAATGACTGGGATTATGTACTTTAGAAAAGATTTATGAAAA